GTATGGAGTGTCCTTTGAACATTTATCAGTCTTGCTAAAAGAACTTTGTAACCTTGCCTGCGCAGGCCAGTGGGTTGAGGGCCAGAGAGAAGCAAGCCTGGCTTGGCTGTGCATGGCTGTGAAGAGGCTGTTCTGACCAATGTACCGTGTCCATGTCCTAAGCATTTCTGGCCCTGCATTTTAACGGCTCTAATAAGCCCTATGATTGTGAATATGGTCTACGAGCTCTGTGTTACCATTGTAATGAATTATAGAACTCAGCAGAGGCGTCGAGGGTACAGTGGCAGCTACAGTTGGTATCAGAATTGGCCAAGGAGGAAAGAGGCTGAAAAGGCATGTCTGACCCTTGCCTCAGGGAATCCGCTTTGGACTGATTTTGAGTTTGATTCTCTTTCTTCTTTGTGATGTCAGAGGAAGCCAAATATGCCCCCAACACACCCCGATTACAAGCCAGACTATGACATTTGTTTTTATAGAAATAAGTAGAGATCTTATGTTCCAGAAAACTTTTGTGGCCACATTTAATTTACTCATTTTAGGAGCTGATATTTCTCCCCTAGGTTGAATCGTATTTTTGCTTAGCACAAAATATTGAATGAACACTGGAAATATTGTAGTGGGTAGATTGGGCATCCAAATTTTCCCTTCACTTAACAGATACACAGAACTTTGCAAAAAAACCAAAAAACAACAGCAACACACACAAAACAAAACCCAAATGAACAGATAAGTAGAGTGTATGTGATGATATTTTAATTATTATAAGAGCTGAGCTTGTGGTCATGATAACCCACAGTTTACCTACTCTTCTAGAAAATATCAGTCTTGAAAATGATTTGGAGGCACAGAGTCTTGGTTTTGTGGGGTACTTCTGCCTCATAGGAATTTGCCTCAGAAGATATTTGGTGCCTCTGTTCTATCTCCTAGTTTGTTCTGGAAGCCCGGGGTCTTAAAAGCTTGCAAGTGGCCATCTCAGGCACAAATGGTCTGTATTCAGGAAGGATGAATCCCTGAGATAATCATTAAACCTTAAAAGAATCCTAAGAGTAATTTCACTTAACTAGTGAAAACTATTTGGAGTATTTCCTATGGTTGAACCTTCTGCTTGGTGCTTTGCCCACTGAACATACCCGTAAGAGTGTATGCAGAGGCTCAACATACAAACATAAAAGTGATTCAGAAGATAACAAACCTTAAAATGGTACATGATTTCTTTCAAAGTCTACTTAAAATAGGCTTTAGTTTTGCAGGAACAGTGAATTATTTAACGTTACTCCTCTAGCCGAAGTCTGCAGAGGGTGTGGTAAGAAGGTGTGTGTATGTGGGGTGGGGGAACACTAATAGGATCCTGGGGCAGCATCCTGCTGTGCATAAAATGAGCCTCCTGAGAAGCAGGAGGAGGGCTCTCTGCCAGCAAGAGCCAGGAGGGGAACTCCTCCTCTGGACCCAAGGTCCCAGTGCAGTGAATTTCCTGTATGGAGAAGACAGCTTACCGTTAGAGGACCAGCAGCAGAACTAGGCACCAGAGCATGGCACAGAGAGGTGGACTGTCCCAACCACAACCCATGGAGCAATGAAGCTGAGTGCTTTTGTGTAGAGGGGCTGCCTTGCAGAGTATGGTGCCCTTGGCCACTTAATTGGAGGAAGTGGAACTTGCTGACTGAAGTGAGTGAGTGCCTTTGGGCCCAGGCTGACTGGAGTGATGTGCCTCAGGGCAACTAATTCAGGTTGCTGGGCTTGCTGACCCATGGAATTTAGCTGACCGCCTTCTAGTTGAGGCTAACACAGAGTAGTATGCCCTTTGGGCACTTTTTAACAGCCACGTCAGAACTGTAACACATCCTGATAAGCTGGTCAACCCTGAGCATTTTTCACTGGCATTATTACTTGTTAACTTTCTTAATAAAGCTTTTCATTAAGAATTTTGTCTGTGAGTTCTGTGTAGCCTTTGCAAGGTATGTTAGGACCTAGAGAAATGAAATAGAGACCATTAATTAAGGCTTAACATGTACTTTATGACTAGTTTTAATTTCATATTGGCTTGTAGAACCCTAATGGAATTATAAATGAAGAAATAAAAGTAGATTTGATGAATGCACTACTGTTTTTTTATTAATCAGGATACTTTTAAGATTTTTTTTTTTAATGGTCAAGAAGGAATCTTGAAAAGAATACACAGAACCCTTGATTGATAATTTACAGAGACTTTTTGTGGGATCCTGGTGGTGCAGTGGTTGAAGGTGAGCACCACAAGAGCTGAATGCACTTGCTTTGTGTGGCAGTCCGCTTCCGTAAACGTGGGCGGCCCCGGAGACCCTACGGGGCCATGCTATTGGGTCTTGTAGGGTTTCTCATGAGTTAGAGTAGGCTTGATGGCAGTGAGTCTGGCAGATTTTTGTAGTATTTTGGAATATGTTGAGCAGTCGGATGCTACATATGTCCTTTTTAGTGGCCTGCATTTTGTGTACAACACAACTTCTTTAATGAATGTAATTCACTT